AATTAAACTACAAAGCACTAAATCTTAAGAAATTATTATAAATTCCTACAGATTAAATTAAAACAATTGAGAAAAGATGATTTGAATTCTAAAATCTTAAATCCAATCAAATGCTTCCTGTCCTACAAACCCAAAGAAATATCAAAGGCAAAGCTTGAATCACAATTATTTCCATCGTGTTGTGTTTATTTTCAACTTTTCATATGCTTAGCGAGAGACTCTCTCATCACACTTTTTGCCAATCAGAATTTGGAATTAGAATATGATTCATATAATTACTGGCTATTGCTTTTGGAATTTATTTCAAATTTTTTTCTTATATTAGACTTTTCAGTCATATTTTTTTTATTAATGAATATTAAAAATATATGACACTCAATATGACATCATAGAGAAATAGAATTCATGTAGCCGACCCCACTTAGTGGGATGAGGGCTTGTTGTTGTTGTTGTTGTTGTTATTCTATGAATATTAAAAATATAAATTTCATGAGACTCAAATCTCATGCCTACGGATTTATGCCCAGGTTTATTAAAGGTGAAACACAATGCTTTATGCTTCTCTTCTAAAATATTAACCACAATGATATTGTGGTTAAACAAACAACAATAAAAATATATATATAAATTTTATCACTGAAATCAAATAGGAATTACAACTAAAAAACATGGAACTAGGAGATAACAAAAAACATCACATAAATTAGGGTTGGGTCGAGAGTGGTGGTGCTACAGTTTAAGGGGGAGCAGTGGGTATTGAGGGGGTGAGGGCCGAAAGGTAGCAAGCAGGGAGTTGGTTTGATGGTAGTAGGTTGGAGGTAGAGTGGCTACAACAGGGAAGACTACATCAGGTTACTGGAAGGGTTGCGATAGAGTTGCTACAGCAGGGAAGGTTGCATCAGGATATGAAGCGGCTGTCGAAAGGTAGCAACAGGGTTGTCTGACAGGCGGAGGTTGCAAGAGGAGGGTAGGGGGAGCTGGCTGAAGGTGGATGGCAAGGTTGAAGGGAGGTGGATGCAGAAATACAATAAGAGGGTATTCGACGACTAAAGTAGGGATGGAGGACGATGGCAACGAAGGAAAGAAAGCGGAGGAAAGAAAAGTTGAGGATAACCACTACCTCAGAATGAGATATAGTCGGAGCACCAATCAACCTCAATACAACTCTAGAAGGAAAGAATAGATGTCAACGACTATCACAAAAGAAAACTCATCAAAATTGAAAACCTAAAATAGACAAAGCAAATGTATATACCCCAGATAATTAGGGTTAGGTCCACTGTTGAAAGGAGGCACCAAGCCCATGGGAGTAAGTCGGTCCAAGTGCTGGAACATGGGAGGGGAATCCCACGCCCCTCACATGACCGGTCTAGGCATTGGAACATGGGAGGGGAATCCCATGCCACTTACGTTCGCTCCAGTTTCCCGAGTTGGGGGAACTATGACCTCATTCGTCGAAGCTTCTATCTCCCATAGTATGGAGTCGGATGAGGCACTTTGAAGTTAGAGGAGCTACTGTAGCCCCCCCTAAGTTGGAGGATCTTTGACAGCATCAATATGAGCACCTGGATCTCACTTACGGTTGCACTGTTCCCCAAAACACTTCAGAAAGTTTTCCCACATGCGAATAACCATTCAAAGCAATCCAACCATCTGGGGGTACATTGTTGAACTAAATTGGGACTTCGTATCAAGTATACTCTGCAGGGTCTTAAAAAGGTGTTTCAAGGTTGGCTCAGCCCTAACTGACGTAAAGACAAACAGCACTCCTCATGATGTTGGCGGCTCAGCGGCCAACGATTAGTCAAAATATCATAGAATTCTCTCTGTACCAGTTGCCCTACATCTAAATTTGGCTCTTCTGTCTTGTTATTCTCTATCATTACCAAACTTGATCTCACTGGCGCTTTTCCATTGGCAAGAACACCTATATTCTTGGACTCCGTAGAAGGTAAGAGAACTGTGTTTTTCATCCTTAGTGAATAAGTAGGTGTTCTTGAATTTATAGTGTTGAATTTGGCGATCAAACTATCACGGTCTCTAGAACAGGATTTGACAGTCATCCATGAGCATCACGTCGCACCACACCTGATCCAAATCTTATTAATGCTGACCATGCTTTCCTTCAACTACATCAACGAGTATGGCTGAGAATGCCTCTAAGTCGTGAGACTTAACTTATCCACCACTTGACGCCACATTCTTGCTGCTACCTCCATCGATGATGAGGCTGCATACCTTTCCCTTCATAGTGCATTGGGCGTAAAATATGTAATGGTGAAGCCACTATTGCTCTCTTGTAGCCTCCGTCTAAAGAACCCATCAAACCACAAGCATCTCGTCCTCATATGGTGGAAGTTGGTACTCGTCACCCCGTTCTTCAGCTACCTCCTCGCTCACCTCCTCCACTGAATCACTACACGGTGAATGAGACAACTCTGCTCGTAGGGAGACTGGAGGTGATGTGTCGATATTCATGGCATCTGAAGCATTTATTGACTGGAACTGTAATGGGAGTGCTACTCTTCTCAAGCTTTTTCTCACTCTGAACGGCTTTGTCATTCTCCTGATCAGTCTTCTCAACTCCCTTAAGCATGTCCTCTTACTGATGTATCTAGTTGTGGGTAGCTGTTGAAATAACGGTGGGTGTCAGCTCAGCTTCTGTTGTCTCTCCACCTTCAAGGTCAAGGTCTGAACATTACACAAAGACCAGTAAGATTGTACTTGAACCACGTTGCCAATGGATGGCTTCATACCTTCCAAGTACCTGACTATTGTGTGCTCCTCTAGCTCTGTGAGAACACATTTCAACTTAAGTTGTATTAATTCTATTGTTTAATTCTCCACTGATAGTTCCCTCTACTGCAGGTGATGGAGTTTCAAAAAAATATCCTTGTGGTTGTGTGATTGTAGGCATTATCGCTGCATCGCCTTCTTCATTTTCTCTCAGGTGATGATCTTGTCCTATCATTATCTCCATCTTTCACTTCAAATTCTCCACCACAATGAGGCACTTTTCTTCAGCTTGATGGCAGTGACATTCACTTTCTTTCATCTGGCACTTCTTTGCATTCAAAGATCCTTTCAACAATTTGCAATCACTAAATAAAGTCATTCGGATTCATTATTCCCTCGAAATCTAATACATTCACTTTTACTCTTAAGTCTTTATAACCTCCAACAGGTACTTCCTCTCTTATCCTCCTCTGATATTAAATCTCGAAGCATAGTTATTGATTCTCCTCTTCATTGAAATAATCCATACATGAAGAATTCAAATGTTATTCTCGCTCTCCTCCTTAGATCTTGCTATCACAGTCGATGGTGATCTCTTCGTAGGACCATTCCTAAATTTCATCGAGTCTCTATAGCACTCGGCGGAGTTATTGTTGTATCGCATCTATAATAAACTTTTGATCAGCGTCTAGCAAGTCTTCTCAGTTGCATGATTTGGGTTTGGGAGTAATGTTGGATGAAAAAGAAAATTTTAGGTTGGGTAGCGGGGGTTTAGGTAACCCAAGGATAGGACTAGGGTTAGGCTAGCTCTGATACCAAATGATACCGAAGTTAACCAAACAACAACGGGACATGTAAATTTTATTACTGAAATCAATTAGCGATTACAATCAAAACATACGAAACTCGGAAATAAAAAAGACAACACAAACTCAAAATATGGCTGGGACGAGGGAAGTTGTGTAGCAGCTTAAGGGGGGGCAGTGGGTATGAAGGGGGTGAGTGCCGAAATGTAGTAAGCAGGAGACTTATTGGATGGTAGTGGGTTGGGGTAGGGTGGTTGCAGCAGGGAAGGCTGTGGCAGGTTAATGAAAGAGTTGTGATAGGGTTGCTACAGCGAGGAAGGCTGTGACAGGTAATGAGGCGGCTGTCAGAAGGCAACAACAAAGTTCTCTGGCGGCTGGAGGTTACAGGAGGAGCGTAGTGGGAGTTGGCTGAAGGTGGATGGCAAGGTGGAAGGGAGGCAGCTACAGGAAGACAGCAAGAGGGCTACCCGTCGGCTACATTAGGGATTGAAGACAACGACAGTGGAGGGAAGGGATATCGAAGGTAATCACTACCTCAAAATGAGATACAGTCGGAGCATCACTCGCCTTTAGATACAACCCTAGAAGAGAGGAATAGACATCGCCAGTAGTCACGACTAAATAACTTATCAAAACTGAAAACCTAAAACACATGAAACAAATATATAAGCCTTAGATAATTAGGATTGAGTCCACTGTTAAAAGGATGTGCCAAACCCATAGGAGGGAACCGACCAGCCCTCTCCCGCCCGGACCAGTTAGTCCAGGTGCAGAAGGCGGGGAGGGGGGAAGGTTGCTCAAAAATTGACAAAATTCAGATAAAGATTTGATTGGATTCTAACAAACACCAATGGCGATACTAGAAGTTTTGTCTAGGCTATTATGACACTAAATAGGACGCAATGGAGAAAAAGGATTCATGTAGCCGACCCCACGTAGTGGGATTAAGGCTTTGTTGTTGTTGTTGTATAGCAATCTCTAGTGCTTTATATGTTTAACTCTAGTAAAGTTCTGACCAGGATCCGATGATCTCCAACCATTTTCAACAAGAAAAAAAAGTGGTTTGACCCTTGGTTGGGCTAGAGAGCTTTAGTTGGGTAGGAGCTCCAAAACAAGGAAGACAACCTTAAAATGTATCGATCCAATAAATTGGTTTGCAATATGTGAGCAAATCAACATCCAAACAAATGAGAAATATTATAAATTCAACCAATTCAAAATACAGGATCAACAAATCCTATACATTTTGAATATCAAACCAACCAAATGAGCCCTTATAGTAATTTGGTTGAACTGCAAGCCGTAGCACTTCAAATTCTAGGTGAAGTTTATGAATCAAATATGATTAGAGACCAAGAATTTGATGAGCAATTTTAAACTATGATCATCCTAAGTTTCAAGATTTGAGAGCATGAATTTCAATATTTTAAAATACTTTACTCGAGCATGAACATGTACCTGCAGTTTCGGATGTTCATTTAAAGACGCATCAATCCTAGCAAATTTTAGATTTTCCTGTCCTTTAAAATGCTTGGCCAACTTCTCAATTTTCCTGCTCGTGGCTTCACAGTCAATGCACCAGGGTGTATAAACCTTGAATTAACAGTAAGCCATCTTTAAAGAGAACAAAGAGTAGAGGCTGGGAATAACTACAAAATGAAAGAAATGGAGAATACTTCATAATAAATGATACGCCATCATACCTCAAGAAAAACATTCTCAGCACTCTCCAAGATGGAGGAATCAAATGTCCTACCAACAATTTTTTCAATCATCTCATTCTGCAAATTTCACCAGGAATTTGGATATTCACATCAGGTGAGCACAGTATAGATGTCATGAGATTGACGTGAAAGTGACTAGAATTTATTTTTTCAAGCAAATTGCAGAAATGACAAAACATGACAAACTTAGCTGAGATGGTGACAGAATGAGAAAAGTAAAATAGTGTAAAAGGGTAAATATTAAACAGTTGGACCATGGCGGCTTATGGAAATTGTGCAAGAGAAAAACTAATGAATCTTACATAATTTGAAATGGGTTCAGACTTGAAGAAAGGCGAGAGAGCACCATGAAGCAGTCCTGAGCAGAACTCCTGAAAATCATTACAGTACCAATATTCAAACAATTCAAATTAAATGAGAACTAGTTGAATCTCAAGGAGTTAAAGTTTACTTCTAAATTCCCTGGAGAAATGTCCGATTCCATAAGGTATTTTGATCCAATCCTATTATCGAATGCAGTCACCTGGGTAATTGAAACATTGTCAAATTTGAATAACAGAACTTACGAAGCATATTAATAATATTTATAATGCACGAGTCAAGGAGGAGAATCACATAACGTGCAACATATCCATTGCAAGTCAAAAAAAGAAAAAGAAAAAAAAAGAACTGCTTCAAGATTAAGATATTCCATTTGATGCAGCTACAATGGTTTACTTTTTCAACGCAACTCTCTTAAGCTTAAAAATTTTATGATATGAGAGCACAGCAAAACCTATTTAAATATATATATATATATATATTTTACTGTGTATTGAGAACTTGAAGTAGAACGCGGAATAGGATGTATAAATTAAGTGGACAACCTTTTTAGGATTCTTAAAACATATTGCGGCTTTGGCAACTCAAGTTATTCTGCAGCCTATTATCTTACGAGAAAAAAGGTTAGAATACCCAGCCACCTCATTAGTATAGTCCCTAAAATTGTATAAGCCTATGAAGCAGAGAGACACAAGCATACAAGAAACCCTGCGAAGTTAACATGACAATTGCCACTTGGAAACATTATATCATATAAAACAGAATACAAAAACATGTTTCATATACAAGTAGATAAATTTGCTTCTTCGGGCATGCCTTGACATCAAATATGAGTATAGAATGAAAAAATGATTAGAATCCCTTCACCAAATAAACCTAAGTTACAATTAAAGACATATAAAATAAACATCTCTCAAGCATTTGTATGTGAAAAACCAATCATTTTATTTTTCTAAGATACAAATAGCACGATGAAAGAGAAACCTAAGCATGAGATGTTGGAGCTCCAACTTAATCAGGTTCAAGTCATAGTTATATTTCCCATTTGTCACTAATCTTGCGCTGAAATCAAGCCAAATTTGATTTTTATCTTAAAAAATATGAGAGCAAGGACGCATCACATATAATGTCAGACATGGGCTATTAAGAGTCCTATCTCCATAGATCTGAACTAGACATGGCTGCTTTCAGACACATGCTTTGGGACATACTTAGTGAAACATCGTTTTGATTGCTATGGCTAAGAGCTGAATTTTCGTTACATATAGCTTAGTAAAGGTTTTAGAACCAATTCAACCTAGGTCTACTAAAGCCTTTCTAACCCTTTGAAAGAATTCAGTTATTTTACCTTATTGTGCTAAGTACCTGCCAACTAAAGCAACAAAATATTTCAGCAAACTAGAAAGAATATTTAAAAAACACATTAAGAAATGTAGCGACAACTTAAAATAAGCGTAAATTCTAAGAACAAGTATGACAAAAGTGTATGCAAACACAGTTCATAGGAAACTCACAAGAGGCCTTTTTGCTTCCAAACCAAATAATGTCAATAATGGTTTTGCAAGGCTTTCTTTAGTAGAATCAACATATATAAACATTATCTGAATAAAAAAATACATTAAATTAGACAGTTAATCATTTCAAGTAACACAAAAAATGAAGATTTTCATAACCAAACAAACCGAAAGGTATCACCTTCGAATTGTATTTTCTTGCAACATCATGAAATAAAAAGAGGAAGGACTTGCAATCATCAGGCTCGGCAAAAAAGTAGACCTACAAAAAATAGGATAACTTGTTACTATGAAAATAAAAATATTCAGCGATGAGAGACTCCCCACCATCATTCCTCCCTCTATTAGCACCATATATAAGCACAAGGACTAACAATTTCTAATAAAACATTAACAGACAGTTCACCGACAAAGAATAAAAACTAAGACGGCATTCAACAGAGATGTCAATGGAAAATTGGAAATAGATTAAAATTTAATACTATATCCAGCAATAAAAAGAAGTAAATGATAGTGCTGCGGACAAGCACGGTATGTTCAATTACAGTTAAAAGTTAATAAATTACATCTATGGTGTTTTCGTAAAAGAAAACTACCCAACCCTTGGAATTTAATTTCATAAAGCCAACCCTAAAATGACTTTCTGATTCTTCCAGAAAGACAGCTCATAGTTGTTAACTACAAAAATTTGAATGTAAGAAACTTACAATATAAAACCTGAAAAGGAAGTACCAAAAAAAAAAAATTCCCACCAATGGTCTGCTAAGGCATGAGAAAGAATTAGATTTCAACAATACCATATAGGTGAAAATTTTTGTTATGATAAAAATATTGAATGGTTGCCAAAACTTAAGCTTCTGGATTGAAATCATATTCGAAAACTATATTAGATCCAACTTTGGCCCTCCTTTGCTTCAGTTTTTCTAATAAGTGGTATATGAGCTGATGTTTTAACTGTGATCGAGGATTTCATGTGATTTGCAGCTCTCATGGTCCATTTGCTTTTCTACCAAGGTTATGTAAGGTTAATGATCAAGAGACTAACTAGATTCATCTGGTTGGGTAGGCTATTGTTGGATGAAACTTTTTGGACTTGAAAACTTTAAGTTTTAGGGTCGATGTGAAGAGATCTCAAGTAAAAGAAAGATTATTAAAACTTCTGAGAATATTAGACTTCAACATGTGGTAGACGAAAATTATGTTGATGTAGCACGTTTGGTTCTTTGTAAGTTAGAGGAAGTAGTACTTAGGATGTAGAAATTGAGAAAGTTGATTCAAAAAAGGTTGTCTGGTCATCCGGCAGAAAAGCGACACTTCTTTTTTCAATTGTTAGTTTGTGCAAGAATTGCAAGTGTGCAATGTCATAAATACTACATTATAAGAATTATGTACTGTCTAAAACACTATATATGATATATTTCCATATATACCATTTTAATAAAATTAATAAATTATGTATTAATTCTTTTTTTTTATTGTGTATTTAATTCCAATATATACTATAATATATTTTCTCTAAAATTATATTATTTGTATGTATGAAAGAATGCATGTTCGTGCATGTGAGAGGCACAATAATTCTAAAATGAACCATAATCATGACCAATGCATTTAAGCCTAAAGTCAAAAGGCTAGAATTGATACAACAACTTCCTAAGGAGGGAAGTACTTTCACTTCCCCCGCCAAACAATAGATAAAGTGGCCATTCCAAGATAGGCTAAAACCTGTGGGTTTAAAATGGGCTGAAAGTAGGCTTTGACAAGTAGAACAGGAGATCCAACTTCGGACCCTTTTGACTCATACTCCCTTCATAGGCCTGGAAAGGTATTAATATAAGTCATATCCTACATTTGTAAACAAATTGTTTCCCATGACTTGAACCTATAAGCTTTATTTCAATTATAGTAGAAATTTCCGAAACTGCTCTATTTACTGTACAACAACAAAAGTGGAGTTAGAAATTTCCAAAAAGGGAGTAATATGAAGCACCTGTAACTTTATACGGCTGGAATAAACTCTGGCAGAATTAAGTTCGGTTAAAGATGTAAGTAAAGCAAACTTCTTCACTTCTATAAAATTCAAGATATTCCCCTCCTCAATTTCTTCCTCTGCAAAAACAACATGATAGGTAATTAATAAAGTTATTTCTCAACCAATAAAAGATGGATGATCTATGAAATACAGTTAACAGGGGTAATTTATTTTGGCACACCAGAAGTAGGAAAGAAATATAAGATTCCAAATTACAAACGTTTCCAAAGTAATAATGCTTAAGGTGATCAGAACTAGCATAGGAACAAAATGAACCAGCATAATGGACAAAGATAAAGATCCAATAGGGTATGACAAAGGTATAAATGTTAATTAATAATGAATTTGGCATCAACTTTCCACACTGTATAGTTCTATTGAATTAAAACATAATAGTGGATGTACACTCCATAAGAATCGCCACCAAAAGAGTATGACTTCAAATTCAAACAGCAGATGGACAATGAAATCAAATATATAAGCACAAGAGACATTTGTTATTACCACACTTCACATTATTCATGAAGGTGAATCATATATGCAAACTGGGAAACAATGAACTGGTTATAATTTTATGTGGCATAAAGTGATGCAACTGAAATAACAAATATTTAAACATCAGTTTTCATGAGAAATGTGCATGGCATTTGCCTATTATTCAATTAAGAAATTAATAAGTAACAACATGAGAACAAAGGGTGGAAAGAACAGGTTTGTAATCAAAATAAAAACTCATCCATCATAACAAACTTGAATTAAAAAACACTTGAACTTGGATTATGCTTATGACTTTCCTAACTTTAATAAGACAGACTTCGATAACAAAAAAAAAAAAAAATTTACTGATGTTTAGATAAACAATATTGTGAAACACAAAAAAACTACTACATAATAAATAACTACATTGGAAGTTTTGCTTAAATTAGTCGTCACAAACCTACAATATTCATTGGAACAAGACAATAAAGCTCTCAATAAACAAAAAAGGATTAAGGGAAATTTACATACATGCCACACAATTTCTATGTGTTTACATACCTAACACCTAAAATTTAATATTTACAGTTGTAACACTTTAGAATCGTAAACCTATTTATGAAAATGTTTATTTCACTTTTCAAAAGTTAGTAATGGAGATATGTTTGATGTAATATTAGCTATTTGAGTTTTGGGCGTGTAAATATGCAAGTTGAGGTGTTAGATATGTAAATTCATAGAAATTGTGTGGTATATATGGAAATGCCCCGAGGAATAAAGGTACCGTACTTACCAAAGCTCTCAAATCTTTCAGGTTCACCTTTGACAATGCCAATGAAAGGTTTGCTAGATCTAATGTTTGGATAGAGAACTTTCGCAACAATAACATCATTGGTCTCAACGAATTGGATTTCATTTTCACTAGCTGCTGCTTTAACGAACTCATTGTATTCAATTCCCTGCACATAAAAGTGAAAGTTTAAGTTAACAGTATAAGACAGATATTCATTAGTCTGAACAAGGGTACAATTTGAATATGAAAACTTTAAACAGTTTCAGGATGTGAATTTGCTACAATGAACAATAATCATTTAGGCATTGAAAGTAAGGCTTGCATTATGTAGGTTTCAATGATAACAAAAAGCATAAAAGTGGCTGACTGTTGCATGTAACTTGAATGTAAGTTTGTGACTGTTAATAGTTGAGAACACAATATCGCAACACCATTAGACAAGTGCAAAGTTGAGAGATTAACTCAAGATAGATCTTAACTTCATAATCTATCATGCAATTCAAATAGAAAAAATATCAAATGTCCCCAATTGCAGCAGCTAAAACTTTGTGACAATAATTAAGTGCTTCTGTTATAACATCAATAATTAAGTGCTTATTAAACCCAATATATGAAATTTCTAGTCAATGCATGATCTAGAGAAAGAGTGATGTATGCTACCTTTGTCCGGGAGAGTAAACAGTATGTTTATTAACTTAGTTTCCTCAGGAACATAGCAGAGATAGACTAACTATCTCTACAGGCCTACCGGCCATTGGATGGTAATTATTATATTAAAGAGATGGTGAGAATAAGAACCATTAACCAAAAAAATAAAAACACAAGTAAACTATAATGATTTACAATTGAATGCTTGAACATAAATAATGCACAAAAAGGTAATTGAATAGAATTGCAAAAGGATTAGGGGACTTTTGAGGGAGAGAAGCTCATCTAGGAATATAACCAATTAAATACAATGATGTAATTTTATCTACGTATATTTTCTACCACCTCAAAACAATATAATTTGACTCATAACACCATTCTTTTATATCTATCAAAACTTTGAAAACCACAATTTACCTTAAGAAATACCAAAAACGCTTCTTCATCAGTTATTTAACATCCTCTCAGTACAAAGTATTTTATCAGATAGAAGATTTCTTAAACAAATTATCCAATATTTCCTATTAGCCTCTGACTCTCAATAGGTATCCAAGTGGCCCTATTTCATCATGATTAGTCTTCTTTAAAACTAATTCAACTTCATATTTGGGCTTAGTTTATTATATTAACATAGAGAAACACTATAATAGGAAACAACTTTATATTGGAGGGCGGTACATTTTTATTTGAGTGTACCCAAAACCATTGTACTTGTTCCCTTACCATAGTTAAGAAAAAAATTCATGAATAAGACTATTTTTCTCGTCTAACACGGTATGATAGAAATGCTTTACCCTGATATCTCACCTCATAAAATCTCAATTTCGATCTCGCAGCAACCACATTGCCCATCATGCCTCACACCCAACGATTGTTAACACATCAAAATCTCATATACTTATGTTTGCTCATACGCATACATGCCCCTAAAAAAGGTCTCACACTCGCTTGTAACCTTGTACTTGCTACCCACACTTGCTCAAATTCATATTCATGCTCGCACACAACCCTGCACCTGTACTCAAATTTTCTCTCTCCCGATGGCTCACCACTCGCCCTTGCTCAAAACAATGCACCCTACCTCAATCTCTCATTCATGCTCACGAACTATGACACCCCTCAACACTTGCGTATATAACTACTAGCTCTCCTATAGAAATCAACTAACCTGGTTGATGCACGCTAGTTACTTGGGGCATGCCTTCCTTTTGTGCCATATCTTCTCAATGCATTCAATTAACTGTCAAACTCTACAAATCTCTTACTCTCCCTAATGATGCCTTGGCTTCTCCATCTCATCTCAATGAATGAAAAAATCACCTCATTCGTGTAATAGACGGTACTCCTATGACGGTTAGAAAAACCTAAAATGATATAGACATATCACTGATATAGTAAAACACATTGAATATTATGAACTATCATGAACGGTCATATTAAAAAAAAGTAAATTTTTAAATGTTTTTATATTGATTTATAGTAATTCTGACTAACATGCGTATCATTCATTTTTCGTTAAGTTATTGTAGTTTAACAGTATGAGTATTTACTGACTTGCTAGTTTATTTTATTTTAAATTAGTATTTTCAAGTTAAAATTACAAAGTAAAAATGAGTAATAGAAGAAAAGTTTCTACAAGAAGCAGACAACCAAAAATAAGGTAAATATTAATTCTTTTAATTTATATTATTTTCTATAACGACTCTTTCATTTATTTTTTATTGATTAAATGATAGTTAGAGAAAAAGAAAATAGCAAAATAAGATTATGATTGTTTAACAGTCTTATTTCGCCTTGGTTAATTCCAAGCCCCAGGCTAGATCGTGACACAAACATTCTGCACCATAAAGCATTGCAGATCTTACCACTATTAAATAAAATTTTCCTTTAGTTTAAGCTACACTTTTCTAGCACACAATAGGCTCGATGCATTCCTCCACTTCAACCATCCAACTTGAATTATATTAAGAGCATCCCCATCTATTAATTATAGTACATCACTTGCGGTTAATATTCTAGCAAATACTTAGCTCACCTTCAGCACAATAAAGTTAGTTCATTACATCTTTCAAAGAAATACCTCAACACTAGAAGCAAAAGGATATGGCTTTTTCAGTTATTGACCTTCATGTAAACTTATGGTGCGTTTGGGGCAGCTTATCAGCTGCGGCGGCATTTTCAAAACGCCGTCGCAATGTTTGGAAAAAAGGTTCTGGCTGCTTATTTCAAAACTCAGTTTCGCTGTTTTAATTAAACGCGGGCCGCGGGAGGAGCCCTGCGGTCCGGCTTTTCCTTCAGCATTTGACGTTGTTGCCCCTATTCGTCTCTGCCTTCCTCCTGAATCCTCTCAAAAACCCTCGCTCACTTCCCTTCCCGATTTTGATGTCGAGGTGGCGGAGCTTGGATCGGCGATGGTGAACTAGGTCAACGAGGTTGGAGAGACGGCGATGTTCGTTGCGGGGGAGAAGGGGCATCTGGACGTTGTCGTTGAGCTGTTAAAGTATGCTGATAAGGAGTGCGTGGCGAGGAAGAATTGGTCTGGGGTCGATGTGCTGCATGTGGCGAGCAAAGAAGGGCACCATGGTTAGAGCTTCTTTCTGTTGTTTTCTTTTTTATTGCTGATTTTTAGTTTAAAGCGACTTTTTTTTTCTGAAAGATAACTCCTTTTGTTTTATTGTACTATCAATTTTGATTCAAGTTTCTTTTGAATTTGGAGTTCTGATGGTTCTGTGCTTCTATTGCATTTAGATGTGTGTGCAAAAACGATTATGTGCCTTCTCTTTAATTAGTATGATGAAAGAATTTGAATGAGATAAGGAGAGATTGACTCACCCCAAATTATGATGGTTTTCATGACACATAAAATGGATAATTTGACCCCTGGATTGGGATTTATTCATCCATTCTATAGGGGAGTTACTCACCCATAAAAGAAAAATCTCTCTCCCTCTCTTATCCTAAAGCTCTCTCCCTAATTCTTCTCATATTTATGTCTTTTGCAGCCTCTAGTTTATTGACAATTGTAGAATTGTGATCTTGTAATCTACTTCCTATCATTGCTCAGAATTACTGTGTTTTGAGAATAAATGAGCAATGGCAATCGGCTGATAGACAGGGTTAGATGAATCATAAAATTTTTAGGAAATAGTTATTTAAGCCATTTATTTTCCATTGAGAGAACAGCCAAGTGTAGTACCAACTTTCAGTGATTTAAGGTTAAAAAAAAAATTGTGTGTTTCAAAGTCATTTGGTCACCTAAGGGATAGAAACAAAGAACTGTTGAAATAATTGAAGATTCTTCTCATCAATGGGAAAGCTATAATTTGAAAGAACTTCTGGATGAGCTCCAATCCAACAACTTGAGCCCCAGCAAGTACTCTACTGCTGCAAATTTGTCTTTAATTGCTACAATAGTGAGAAAAGTTGGATGCTTTTTCTGTTTCAGTGACACTTTCTTAGATAAAGCACATGTGTGACTTATAGCTCTTTGTTTTAAGCTAATTCAAACTCTTGCATGGTAATTTTTTTTGTTAAAACTTGATCCTTTTATTTATTTAGTTCTAGTGGAAGAGTTAGATTTTGCTTATGACTGTTCCACACTTTTTTTGGTTCATCCAGTCTACAATGAGTCATTAAAATTAATGTAAAATGTAAATTATTGATTATAATTTATGTTACACATAATTTAAAAAAAAAATTCAAAATTAAATTTATAATGTGTGAATAGTCTTTTATTAACAAAAAACTACAAATAAGTTGTTGTCCAAATGCACAAACTAAACAGCTAAACAGTTTATCCAAAACAGAGGCGGAATGATCATTTATCCAGAATCAACTGTTTCTGAAACGCACAAATCAAACAGTTAGTCATATTATCAGAATAAGCTGCTTATCAACACATTATCAGGATAAGCTACTTAACTAGATAAGCTAGATAAGCTGCAGTTGCCCCGAACAGACCCTTATTCTTGTTCTACTCCTGTGTCCTATGGATAGGGCCACGTAAAATTAGAGGTCATCATCTACTTAACAAACTAGATGTTTTTTCGTATTTGTGAGAGCTTGGATAATCTTAATGAGGTAGACCGCTCCCTAGTGGAAGAAACCTAAATTATCGCACAAAAATAAATAAATAAATAAAAATTCAAAATACACATAAAAAGGCAGGGGGTGGCAGAATGCATTTACATTAGTGATTAGATTTCATTATATTTACTATTTAATGGACTAAGGCTGGGAACTTCTGAAAAGAAACAAAAATGGGGTCAAAATATCCAATCATTATTATCAGCCTTCTAATAGCGATGATGACGATGATTGGATTTTATAAACATCTTTTAACTCCCCCTGCACAAATCCTCAGCATTGGTTTATTTGATATTATATGAGCTAATGAAAATATCCAATCAATGGATGTAAATTCATAGCCAAGTCACCATTGGGTTTTCAGTTTACGAATTTTTCTACAATCTAAACAAGCTAATAGTATATAAATTCAGATGTATCAAGCGATAATGAACTAACATCTGCTATTTCATAATAGAATCTACCAGGAAAAAAAAAAGAAGAGCAAAGCAACTGCAGTGCAAAAGTATAATCTGACCACAAGTGAAATTTCCTAGAAACCATCTAAGAATAACACAGAACAACTAAATGCAAAGAACTTGAACAATAATAACCGACTCCATTCTTTACAGGAACAAAAGGTTATTACTTAAGTAGAAAAATTAGAGGAATCAAAAGGATGCCACAGAGAGAAAATAAAGCTGTTAAAACTTTAAACCGGATTTGAACTTCCTTATGCAAGTGAAAATCACCAGGAGAATTCTGCAGAATATTATTATTAACATATCAGACTCCAGTTATAAGAATTAATTTCCACCATTAAATCCTCCTGGATGTGAAAAAAATCACTACCATTGCCGGTCCCAAGCCCGGATGTGAAAAGTGGAGAGTTGCGTTAGATAGTTGACAGTCAGTGTAAAATTTGTCGGAAAAAAAAATCATAACAAGTCCTGCTGGAAAAGCCAATGACTTTGGACATGGAAATGTTTCAAACAACAGCTAGCAGAAAGATCAGTGCTACCATATACAGTTAAGCTTAATTATAATCGAGAACACAGAGTTGATGCATCATTACAGGGTTAACCACCTCATAGCTATCAAAGAAACCTATAACAAGTATCTGATGCCTTTTAAGGAATTCCTCTGCTGCAGTTACTGATGACAATCTTATTACAGGGAAACCAGTCTTCTTTCTAACCCAAATAAATATTTCATCCCTGAAAAGGAAACAGAACAAACAGTTAATCTACCCACACCCACTGATCTCTCTATACTAGCTGAATCAATTTCTCCAGCTCAAAATTCAGTTACCATAAGTGAGAACTGACAATTTTAGGTGCTCTGATGATAAAATGCTTGCTAAATAAAATATAAAGTAAGTTCTATAAAACTGAAAGAACATCTCACTGCACAATGGTTAACCATGATCAACAACAAAAATGATGAAGATAATATGAGTATGGCCTTTTCCAATGCAATAAAATTTTCAATAGATTTTGGAAAAATAAAGCATTTATCCAATAAAAAAATCTGAATCCACAAACAGTCTCGGTTTTGGAAGTTCGAGAAATTTTACTGGTTTTGGAGGTTGGCACAAAAAGTTCACAAAGAACCAAAGGTAGTAAACTTCGCCGCAAGAATTTCAACCTGGCCGGGCAAACTAAATGACCTTAATGGTTTCAGAATTAAAATAAAGCTGCCAGACTCTGCGTGGAACCAAGATATGAAACAAATCTAGCAGTTTTAGAAATCTGAGAAAATTGCCATTGCTTCCTCTTGATTCAAGGGATAGTTTGGCACTCATTCATGCATGCTATGTAAAGAAAAGATCTTGATAGAATATTTGCAACTTATAATTATATATCTCAATCTAACATTTAGTTTTCATAATAGATTTGAATATTAAGGACTCCCCACAAGTCTTCAGGGGGGTTATCATTGGTTATTTTTGAAGCAAATAGAGGCCTTTGAACTAGTTGACCTCCATATGAGTTCCACAAATTATCAAATCGAATGCAACAATGATGAAAAAATACGGACGTAATTTTAGAAATACTTGATTCTAAAATTAATTTTCCCATGAAAATAGCAATCAATCATCATCCCTAAAAATACGGGATCTCAAAAATTATTTAGAGAAGCCCCCAGTTTTGCCTGAGTAGCAATACTGGAAGAGAACAAAATAAAAATTTGCATACACGAAGGAAGATAAGAATTCGTGTGTAAGGGATAAAAATTTTTAATTTATGAGAGAACACATAATAATAACAGTAATAATAATAATAATAATTCATATTAATTAATAATAAATTAATATAGTATATAGCAAAAAAATCTGCAATAACAAAATTGAAATAAAAGAGATTGAATGCTAGAATAATTTTTTATCCTATCATACACATTTACAGAATCGTTAATTCATTCTTAACTTTAAAAACAACAGAACTACTTTAAATGCTCTCACCATTTTGTTTGAAAATATTAATAAGATTGGTGGCAAAATTGTTGAAAAAGGGGGCATTGAAGGAGATTGTTAAATATGAATAAAATTAAAGAATCACGCATATTTTTAAAGGAGAAGAAGAACCCAAAGGAAAAAAGAAAATAAAGAACAGGAAAGCAAGCTCTTCGTATGAACTTTGTTCTAATTCAGAAGAAACTGAAATACAAAAATTCTCATATGAAACTTTCAAATACCTTTGATAAATTACTATTAGCATTTGGAAAGTTGAAAGATAAAATTATTCTAGTAAAAATGAGTCAAAATTTTTAGGATGATTTCCTCAAATATAATATGTTTCATTTAATTTAAAACCTATAATCTTGTTCATTGCTTAAAAATGAGAATGAAAATTTTCGGAAGGAATATAATGACCTATATTCTCATAATTTATCTATGTTTCATAAACTATTTGTTTATAGATTGAATTTCCTGGTTTAAAATTGGAGATGAATGATTCATTGCTTTCTAGTACTTCAACTTTCTGTCTGATATCGGAGTTCACCCAAACAATAACGGAACAATAATATTATTACTCAAAGTAAATATGTGCTTACAATCTTCCACACTTGAAAATGAAATACAACAAAAAACCGAACACTGACACGACAAGGGTTGGATCCCCAAGGTTTTGGTGGTGGGTTGGCAGCTGGAAGGGTAGTGGGAGGTGGCGGTGGAGTAGCAGTCGCAGAGACAACGCGACTAGACTGCAAGTAGAGGTAAGGGATTGCGGCATCACGATCTGACTCAGGGCTTGGAATTAACCAAGACGGGATCAGATGATTGGACAATGTTATTTAAATTTTCTATATTCAGTTAATATTTAACAGATGAAAGAACTACTATTAAAATAAATTAAAAACAATATATTTAAATTTTCCTAGTTATTGGTTGTCCGCGTCTTCTATAAATATTATGTCTTCTATCGCTCATCATTAATTATTTAATTAAAATTGAAATTATTAATTTAAAACAATATTAAACTTAACAATGTCAGTGAATACTTTTACTGAAAAATCATAGTAATACAAAAGAAAATGAAGCAATATGCAGGTTAGTCGAGCTTTTAATAAATCTATAAAAAATTTGATATTATTCAAATAACTTTAAAATTTCAATAACATATCAATATCATTATGTATATGTATAACCGTCACAGGAGTATCGTCTAACGACTATGTCAATTAAGACACATCAATATCAATATCTTTTTTCATATATGAGCACGGGTACCTTAGTGTTCCTCCACTAGTACAATAAATGCGTGACTCCATCATAGTAGGTATGCAAATAGAAGCAATTTACATAAATACATCATTCATATATTCATCACATTCAATTCAACATACTATATAAAGCATATATCAAATGCATGAGTAAATAATTTTAAACATTCATAACAATATGACCGATAAAGAAAAAAAATCTCAATCAGAACAACACATGTACAAGTGTCATTAACTACAAAACTATTAAAAAATAAATTATTACTATAGATTAAACATAGAAGTACTCACTTCGATGTTGATTAATTCGTGTTTGAATTTGCCTTAACGTCAACTATTCTAAATTAAAAACCTAACATAAACATGATATTTAATAAATTTAATAAATTATTACCTTCTTATTCATTAAGTGTTAAATTTACTTTATCTAAACCCTCTTAATTTTCTATATATATATATATATTTAAAGCCCAAGTTATATTAAAGAGAAAGGGGTACATATAGGTTGTATGAGTGGACCCAAATATGCACCCAAACCATACGGTACAACACACACAAAAAGAAAAAGAAGAAAATTAAAAACCAAAAAGTAGATGGTACATAAAAGATCAACCAGGTCGACCGACTTTAGTTTTGTCTCTGCCTCTAGTTCTCGGAAATGAACCAGCTAACAGATTGGTGAGGTGTGTACCATTGCCCGAAATAACCAGAGTATCATCCATTAGATTATTTAGCTCAAGTAGATCTTCATTCTTCTTCTTCCTCCTGGAAGTGTAGACCTGGCATTCCTCATCCGAAGATTGTTGCTCATTCAGATGAGGTGGCAGTGCTGCAATAGAAAGATTACCAACAGTTGTGCCAATAAGTCAATGTGAGGTAAGAGTTTTCGCCTCTACCCCTGATACTTCCTGAAGGTGGGGAGCTGCAAGGTTCTCCTGATTATCAGTCCGCGTAGGTAGGGGTCCTTCATTATTGTTTTCAATAGGGTTTGAAAGTGTAGGTTGCTCAGCAGGGCCATCCAGCTTCTCATCGATCGCAGAAACAGTATTTTCAAGGGGACGGTTCACAGTGGCAATAGAATCAAACACTGAATCCTGTCCTGTGATAGTTTTCTCTCTAGGTGGAACAGATATATCCTTAGATCCATCCTTAATTACTTGAGCTTTAGATTTCAAATTAGGATGAAGTTTATGGCATTTATCAAGGATATGCCCAAACATCTTACAATGAGAACAATAAGGAGGTCTATGCTCCATGACGATTTGTTGTCAATATCCATTATGTATTGTGTCCAACCAGACTTCAGTAACATCAGGCAAAGTAATATCTCTTTCCACAAGTATTCTGGCAATAGAAGATCTTGTAAGATTGAAAGTGGGTAGATCTAGCTTTATAAGGTCCCCAAGTATGACACCAATAGAGTAAAGAACCTGATGATGAAAAGGGTGCAGTTTGAGACCAGATAGACTAAACTATACCGGTACAGTTGGAGGTTCATGATTGGGGTCAAAATCAGGAGACCACTAAAGTAGCTTCATAGGTTTACCAGCGATATTAAGATATTTTCTGGAGAAAATCTGAGTGTAGTCCTCAGGCACGGTAAACTGAATCAATACATGTCTCTCATCTATGAGCCTCATTTTCCACTTTCTTATTAAATTGAGGTTATCAAAACTTTTCCTGATAATTTCCATAGGTGGGTGTCCCCACAGAAATTTTCCAATAAAAGCAAATTTGAACTTGTCAGTCAGCGTTGAAATTTCTGAAGCAGAGAAAAAGAGTGTTGTCTTCCCACTTTTTTCTGCTTGCATTTTTAATAAAAGGGCAGTCACTTGTACCATCACGATGCTTCTTATAACTTGAAGGGAAGATAACCGTCTTCTCCCTCTGAGGATTACCCACCACATGTGCAAAGGAGGTTTTGTCAGGTTCAACCGAAGAAGAAGAAAGCTCCATCACAGTAAAGAGAGGCCCTGCAAGTTGGGCAGAGGGCAAAAAAGACATGTCAGAAAGTTCGGGGCAAAGCTGCGTAGACGACAGGACTGCAGATGAAATGCGCAGAAAATAGGGCAAAAAAGATGAAATTGCAGCTAGGCAGACACGAAACCGCAGCTCGATCCGCGCAGAAAAGAACTACAGAGGTGTAAGGCTAGCTGGAAGGCACGAAGGAGGAGACGACGAAACCGCAGAAGCAAACACCGAAGCACTTTGTCGTTTGGCGCAAAAGAGAAGACGACAATCGCAAGGTAGAGTCCTTCGTCGTCATCGTCGAGGGCAGGACCTTCGTCGTCGAGCAAGGAATCAAACCAGGGTTTCGTCATCGGACAAAACCCTAGCAGAGCAGATCGTCATCGTCTTTTATTGATATATATATATATATATATATATATATATATCAATAAAAGACGATGACGATCTGCTCTGCTAGGGTTACTACTAAATTTTAATATTAAATTGATTTAACAAACAATACGTCACTCGAATTCTATAC